AAGATTAGCTTGTCGCAATCGCTCAAAAACTTTCTTTAGTTTGCTCAAGTGTTCTTCGAATGTTTGTGAGAATATAATGATGTCGTCTAGGTAGATTAGCACTTCCTTCCATTTCATATCCCAAAAAACTTGGTCTGCTAGTTCTTGGAAAGTGGCTGGAGCGTTGCATAATCCAAAACTTAAAACATTAAATTCGTAAGTCCCATGTCCTTGCGCCACGAAGGCAGTGTATTGCTTGGACTTCTCTTCGACTGGAACTTGCCAATATCCGGAAAACATATCGAGTGTGCTAAACCATTTTGCATTGCCCAAGTATGACAAAATGTCATCGATCTGTGGTAGTGGGTATGTTGATTTTTTTGTTACTGTGTTCACCTTTCTGTAATCTACACAAAATCTTGTTTTTCCATCTTTTTTCTTAACTAGCACTACAGGGCTAGCCCATGGAGAGTGGCAAGGCCGAATTACTTTGCTATCGAGCATTTCCTGGATTTGTTCGTCAATAATCTGTCTTTCTTTTTGTGACACTCTGTATGGGCGGCTCTTTATTGGGCGAGCCTCTCCGACGTCTATTATGTGTTCTGTTAAGTTTGTCTTTCCCATATGTTTTGTGGATTTCGCGAAAACGTCGTTGTATTCCAGAAGGAGTTCTTTGAGTTCATGCCTGTTCTTCTTGTTTGTGATGCTGTCTAACTTATGATCTTCCATTGTTATTTCTTCGCTCTCTTCGTCTTTTTCTGCTTGTAACATGAAATTGTGTGAAAGATTTGTCTCTGATGCAGTTTCTGCCAAAAATGCCATTGTGGTTCCGGCGTAAATAGCTACTGGGTTCCTTGTGTTTGATTGTACTTTTAAAATGAGGCTACCTTCATTGGTGTGAATGTGCGTTTTTAGTTCGAGATGATTTTTTGCTAACCAGTCTAAATTATATTTGCATGTATACGTAGTATTATCTTTAATCTCACTATTTTTGCCCATAATATCTAATTCCAATGTTTTTAACTCATTCTGAGATACCATATAATCTTTCTTTGTACCCAATTTATATGTCTTTTTCTTGGTTTCTGTACCGATTTGCATCAGATGCCTAATTTCTTCTTCCTGCTTTTCTTCTTTAGCTTTATCCCCAGGGTTTTCCCTATAAATGTGAATTTGGACCCCTGCACCTTCAAATAGAAAATATATCATCTGTTTAAATCTTGTCCATTCTTTTTCTAATCCCCATCCTTGTCTTGGAATGACTAATTTTTTGATGGATTTATTTTTTGAGATATTGTTCCTCAGTGCTGTGAGGCATTTATACATATTTCTTGGACTTGGCTTCTTCTTCATTGATTCTCTTGTAAATAGGAAAACGAGTGATTTTTTTCCTTGTTTTGACATAAATAGCTCCCCAATGGTTCCTTTCTCTCTCTTTTTTGGAATCATATGCCTATATTTTCTGAAAACTGATTTTTTTGATTTGTAGTTTTGGGTTACTCCTACTACTAAAACGGCATCGTTCGTTAGGACGTCTATGTTTCCATATTCTTCTTTCAGGAGACCGTTAACCTGGTCATCTTTTATGTGAATGTGCTCTCTTGCAAACTTGTTAAACTCTTGTTCATCTCTTGAAGTATCTAGTTTAAGCTCTCTCGTTTTAGTTGGCTGTTTTGTTGTGACCAGACCTGACATGTTGATTTTTTCATTATTCATTTGTCTTAGAGGTATTTCATACTGACCATTCAGAATCAGTTTTTTCCTTGGGAGATCTATGATCGCGTTATTTTTTGTCAAAAACTCCATGCCTAGGATTATTGGTTGAGTTAATGATGAAATCACTTTGGCGTTTAGTCTGCCCTTCCATTTTTGACTTCCTGGTATTTCTATTGGAACTTCAATGTCTCCCAAAACTTTTATCTGGTGTCCTCCTGCAGTGACTAGAACCGTGTCATCATTTCTTGTTAGTTCCTCTTTGATTAGACTTCTTTGTAGAACGCTATCTTGTGCTCCTGTATCCACGATTGCTGACATGTACTTATTATTTAATCTAATTGTGATGTGCAAGATACCTATGTTATTGTTCTTCCCCATGGTAAGGATGGCAGGGGCTTTTAATTTTGCCATCCCTTCTCGTTTGGGTTTTGTCGTCGGGCTGTACAGGTGTTTGCAAAGTGACCCTGTTTTCCACAAACAAAGCAACCTGGATTGTTTTTGTTGTTTCGTGGCGTATACGATTTGTACCTTTGAGGCTGACTTCTGCATACTGTTGCAGTATGTCCTGTTTTCCCACAGTTGTAACAAACGGTGGCAATTTTTGAGTTGGAGTTATGATTTCTCATCTTTTGGCTCCTACATACAGCTGCGAAGTGTCCTGTTTTCCCACAATTATAACACGTTTGGCTAGATATTGGTACTCTTGTGCTTGTGTGTTCTCCTTGCATTCGGATCCTGCAGGTGGCCATTACATGTCCTCTTTTTCCACAATAATGACATATGTTTAGTTCTGTGTCTGTGATTGTGTTTCTTTCCGTACAGCTGGTAATTTGGGTATCTTGCGTTGCACCTTTCTTCGGAGCTTTGTCTATCGTGTCTGCTATTTCTTTTAATTGTATAAGTGATGTTGGTGGCTTGTTCGGCGGGTTTGTTAACCAGTAGTAAGTGTGATGATTTGCCTCCGTCAATCCTTCGCTGAAAATCCTTACAAATTCTTGTATATCAAATGTATGTGTGTAATTGTGATATAACACTTGTAAATCGTACAAGTATTCCTTGACTGACTCATCTTGACCCTGTTTTCTGTTTTCGACTTTTTTCTTGAGTGCCCTTTGGTAATCTGTATCCTCAAATTCCTCTGAAAAATCTTTGACAATGTCTTTCCAGCTGTTGTTTTGGTGGTCGCGCTTATATTCCTGTAACCACAGGTTTGCGGCTCCATCTAAATACGTTTCAAAATAAACAATTTTCAGCTTTTCGTCCCATCCATTTGCTATCGCTGATCTGTCATATGTTCTTAGGAACTCGATCGCGCTGGTTTTACATGGCTGGAAGGTCTGAGGGCTGATAAACTGAGGCAACTTCGCCTTTTTCTCCGCTGTTATAGCATCAGTTATTGTGGTGTTCGCCATTATATCCGGTTGATCTACTTCCTCTTTAGATGGTTGCCTGTGTTTTGGTGCTTCTTGAAGGGTAAGGTCTGGTGGGCTACCAAAAACACTGTCTTTTTCGTAGTCTGTTTGATTATTTGCTTGGTTTTCTATTTCACTTTCAATTTGTTCTAAACTGATACTGGTTGACCCTGGTGGGGATCTTTGAAGTGGCCTTCTTGACTGGGAAAATGAGTATTCAAATCCTGTGCTCCTATGAGACGGTCTGAATGATTCTGTTGGTGTTGCAGCTGCTGCGTTCTTTGGCCTCAAATTATATTTGGTTTTGTCTGGCATCTATTCTTGCCACAATGGCGACGGTACCAACTATGTGTCACAGTTTTTAAATCTACGAGTTTTCAAATCTACGTGTATCTTCTCCACCTTCGCCACGCTGTCGTGAATTTCTCTTGTCGACGTACCGCCTGGTGACGTGTTTGGGTGTTGGCTTGCTTCAAAGGCGCCTTACGGCGTCGGTTCTGGGCGTCGGGTTCGAGCCGGCGCCTCCACCAAATATGTCACAACTACCCGCTTTACGGGGGTGACATGGGGGGTTTGTAGCTTTGGGGGTAGATGGAGAGAAACTCGCTCAGGTTATATAAAAATATATGCTATATATTTTCCCAAATATAACCTTACATGTACGCTAACCCTATAAGATACATGACCCTTCGTACACTGGGGTCCTTATAGGGGGCCACACGTCAATTCTGCTTGGGGGACTGTAGATAAGTTTATCGTCACCCTTATGCCTTGTCCAGAGGGGCGTTCCCAACGAGAGGTAATTGCACTGGACAACGATAAGGCTGAAGATACCCAGAGGGGCGTTCCCAACGAGAGGTACTTGCACTGGGGAGACTTAATTCCAGAGGGGCTTTTCCAACGAGAGGTACTTGCACTGGTTTAAGTCTACCTTTGCTGCGGCTTGCAGCGCAATTTATATTAATTTATTGCTGAATTGAAATAAATATTCGATCGAATCGGCAATTAAATTAATAAGGTTGAATACCGGGTCCTCCTTTCCCAAGCAGCTAGTTGACAATATCGAAGTAATAGTGATAGTATAGTAACTTTTGATATTCTTTTTTGAATTTTTTTAAATAAGTTATTGTTTACGTCGCATGTAGACAAATGCTCACGTAAACAATTCGAATTGTCTACGCGTAAACAATCAATTGTTTACGTTGACATTGTCTACAGGCACATCACTGATGTTTATTAACAAACTCGCAATGAAAACAGAAAAACATACAACAACTCAAAAGATAAATTGGAACTGAAAAATTAACTGCCAGACCTCTAACGGCAAAAACTAAAAACAATCAATCAGCTGGTTGGGTTGAAACCTTGAACCTAACATTAGGCAACCAGTAAAATCTTATAATACCTATTATGTAGGCCACAATCTAAAGTAAAGGCCTACTATATCAACAAAATGCTATGTTTTTTTTTTTTCAATTTTTGTTATTACCTACCTGATATGAAGCTCGTAGGAAAAATTTTGTTCCTAACACGTGCGCAAAGTGTCTTTTCCGCACGCAAACACGTATCCGAACTCCGCTTCGCGTGCGGAAAAGTAACACTTTGCGCACTTGTTAGGAAAATAACTATTTTTTACACATATTTTGTGTTGAAAATGAATCTAGTTTCACGAATGTGAATTTTGTCGCACTCACCTTTCACTTTACACAATTTCAATAGCTATTTCGGCGAAGTCCGGATTTCTCGACTCCTTTGTCCTGAATTCCGAAAAACTTTTATGGAAACCCTACCTATAGATTTTGATAAATGTTTAGGTAAACGGTAACTGAAAATAGGCCTTTTCATAAACGCTTATGCGATTAACCTAATCATTAGCTGTTTGTTTTTTGTCTTTTTTTAATGAGTACGCTTGAAAAAAAAACAGTACCTACATCAGCTGGTGATCCGGTTAATGAAATTAGCATTTCCGAAATGGCCCAATTTTAGTTGCCCGTTTATAACACGGTTAGTCACTAAAAAATTCTTTATGTTGTAACTGGAATGAAATGTTTTATTTTTAGTTTTTTGATTTTTTTTTTTATGTTTGTTCTGCTGTTTCAATTAATATATTTTTGGGAAACACCATTGTTTTTGAGTCGCGGAAAAATCTCAGAGTGAACCAATTTTAAAAGTTGGCAATCATGGTCGTGTGGTCTTATGACCTACCAAGTTTCTAGAAGTAAAATAAATTAAAACAAAAGCTTTTCAAATACACAATAACAATATAATATTTGAAAAAAATTCTACGACCAACATTCTGCTTGATATCTATTTTTCTTCTCCATTGTTTCTACAAATTTGGTAGCATTTGCCTCTGATAAATTTCCATGTTTGATGCAGACGTTAATAAATGCATTTCTAACTGCTTGCGGCATATTTCTTGAGTTTCCCGCAACAAATATGTAGCAATTTTTATCGAGGGCTTGCCAAACGAGTTCACCATACTCTAATATCTTATCTTGAACATATCTAAAATAAAAGCTTATTAATTACCATTATTCAACTTAAATTTAAAAAACTTACATTTTCTTATTTTGGTCTCTTGAAAATGCACAAATCAAAGATATTTTTTTATCATTGCTTAATTTTCTAAATTCTTCTTTACACAAAAAATCTTTGAATTCGTATCTGCATCCGTAAAATAATAGCAAATCAGTAGGACTAGAAACTTTATCGCATATTTCAAAGATGAAATTTCTGAACGGTGCCACTCCAGTCCCTGGACCAATCATAATTACAGGAACATTCTAGAAATAACAATTAATATTATAATTTTACTAGAAAACAAAGCTCAAGTAAAAAAATGTTCGTTTTAATTAAAGGTTACACAGAAAGAGTGGAATAGAAAATTACTTAAATCTTTGATTCATCTATGGAAAAATTAACTCAATACTGACGCAAAATTTGAGCAAACATATGAATTTATGAAATCTATTTTCTTAAAAAAAAACTACCTATTAAAATGAATTCATCACATTATAACACTTTTCTAGTGATTCTTACCTACCAACGTACTAGGAAATTTAAACGAGCCACGTTTCAACCATGTAGTAACTCTTTTTCCTGGTTTCAAATCGGCCAAAAAATTCGAACAAAGCCCCACTCTCTCCTTGACCAAATTCGTTTTGTACTTGACCACCGCTACTAATATATGCACCTCATTTCCGTGCCGCTTAAAGCTACTAGCAATGGAAAATTCTCTTGGTTTTATTGAAGGCATAATTTCAAACAAAATATCCAAAGTTAAATTTTTGGTGGCCTGTGGAAAGTCACCCAAAACTTCAACAATGTTTCTTCTAGGGCGATTTGTGTAAGAGTACATGTCTTGTTGCCCTTCTGCTGAGCAAAATTCCAAGCATTTTTCCTTTTCTAGATCACTATCAGTTATTTGGGATAAAACTTCAAAAACCCTCCTTCTGGGTATTGATAGTAAATCAAAATATTCTTCACAAAGTTGCTGGAAAGTAGCGTGAAATTTCAAAGCCTCTGGTACAGGAATTTTTTGATCATTTTCTTGCAGTTTTATCACAGTGTCATCTGGAATATTGACTCCATTATCTTTTAAAATATTTTTAAATTCTTTTACTTTCCAATCCAGATTTTTAGGTCGTAAAACGAGGAGATCTCCCGGACAGTATTGTTGACCCTCAGTTTTAAATTTTATCAATCTAACATCCTGAAATAATGCATTTATTAAAAATAAGTCAATTCTAATTAATTAATGCAATACTAACCTGAAAATGACAAATATCAGTTTGCCTAGAATTTTCTACAACCAGTGCATCAAATTCATGTGATTTTCTAGTTGAATAAAATAAAGATTGAAAATTGTTTAAATTTTTCTGAGGTTCCAAGCATTTGAAATCTTTTTTAATACTCCATCTAAAATAATTATATTTGATCAAGCAAATTAAACAAAATCGAAGATTTTACCGTGGAACTATAGGCAAGTTACTTGACAAAGGCTGTACACTATGAGGCAAAGGGTGTTCTTCTATCAACTTTTTCCATAAGTTGTCCAACCACGGATCTGCTACAGCATCGTAGCCCAAGTCGTGCTGATCATCGCCTAAGCCTAGAGGCACTAGAGGCTCTGCACCTAACTGTTGCAGTCTTTTAAAAAGTCTCTTTGCAACAAAGTTGAATTTTGCATAGCTGGAATCGCCAAGGCCTAAAATTGCAAACCTAAAAAAGAATTTTCATAATTATTTTATTTCAGTATGACATTCATAAGTCTAGCTTGTTTATATTTTTTTAATAGTTATATTTTCAGGAATTGATAGTCCTCATAGAGAGAATCACACAGGTATAATGATTTCTAGAAAATATAGTCTTGATTGATTTATTTTGTAGTCTTTGTAGTTTATTTATAACCTGTGCAGTAGTGTTTCCATAGCATGATATTGAATATCTTCAGTGCCGGCCTTAAGGGAGTGCAGAGGTGCTAAGTGCACCCGGCGGCAAAATTTAAGAGGCGGTGAATCAAGAAAATTAATCAAAATATAAATCATAAAAAAAATCGAACGGTATTCAGAATAATATTTATGAAAAATACTAAAATATTAAGTATTGTTACGAAAGTGCATTGAGTTATATCCCGTGAGAACTCCAATTCAGCATTTATATTGTTCTATTCAGCTTATTTTTAATATTATAAAAGGAGTAATTTCTAGATTTAAGTCAGTTCTATTGTATTAGTCAAATAAAGTTTTTTAAAAACGCTCTCTCGTGTACACCCCTCGTAAGTGGCGCAGTCGGTAGGATTTTGACGGAGACTTCGGTAAAAAACAGTCCGGTTCAGTCGAAAATTTGGATTTTGCGGGCCGTAAAAAAAACCATCGTCTTTTCGTGCTAACGATTTACCGTCAAATCGAAATATACGTTCGTGGTATACGAAAGACTTTTGACAATCAGTGAACTCGCGACCAGGGATCGGAACAAAAATCGTCCATTAATCCTATTGGTGCGGATAGCGGAACTACATCGTCCAAAATCCATAGAAGATAAATTCATGTACTTCAAGATCAATCTGATATTGCTGTAAGTGATCCCATTATTCTTTTCCTTTTATTTTTATATTTTTTGATTTTATTGGTATATATTTGTTCGATCTGGAAGGTGATAACGAGCTTGACAATCTTATAAACATTTTTAACAATAATTTTCAACCTAATAATCAGATTCAAAATCTTGTTAATATGGCCAACCCAAATTATCAGCTTATTAGATACCAAGCCGATAATATTCCAAATTTTGATGGTAACACCAAAACACTTGGCAGATTTTTAACATCATGTGAACATTTTCTACAGAATCACCAAAATCGACAAAATGCCGCAGATCCAATAAACATCTGTTTGTTCGATACGGTAATTTGTAAATTGACAGGTAGAGCTGCCGAATTAATTGCTTCTCGCACGGAACTCGATACCTGGCAGAAAATTAAAAATTCGTTAATTGTCACATTTTCTGACCAAAGAACTGAAGATTGTCTTGTCCAAGATATCATTAATATGAAACCAGATAAGAACGAATCCTTACATTCTTTTGGATTAAAATTGCAAGATTCTAGAAGTTTGTTATTTGCTAAAATTAATAGCTCAAACGATCCTAATAATATGAAAATTCTAAAAATCGAACAATTTGATAATCTGTGTCTAAAAACTTTTATTAACAACTTAAATTACCATATGCAGTTAGTGGTAAGATTAAAAGACCCAGATTCTCTTGAACAAGCTCTCGCATTTGTACGAGAAGAAGAGAATTTCATACAATATAGAAACAGGTCTAATCAAAGCTCAAGAAATATACCTAATAACAACGTCAATAATAAAAGTAAGCCTCAATCAAGTTTTAACAATACACTTGGAAATTATGCTGCTAATATTCCAAGAATGCCTATAACACCATTCACTAATAATCCTTTCTATCGACCAAATAATTCGTTTAACAACCAAAACTTTGCAAGACCTTTCCCAAATATGCCATTCAATAACCAATTCCAAAGACCTCAAAACTTCAATAATTTCAATAGACCATTCCAAAGACCCAGTATCACCCAAAACAATAGTGCTCCAGAACCAATGGACACATCGTCTGGTGTCACTATAAGACCAAATACAGTTCAAAGATCTCGCCTGAATAATTTCACTGTGCAAGAACTTTCGAACCAATCCGCAAATACTTTGTCCCCTAATACTATCACCGAAACTCAAACTCAAGACACAAATATCGACGTTAATTCTACTCCCAATAATGACGAACAATTGGATTTCAGTAATTATTACCAAATGCCAAATTCTGAAATGTTCAACTCATACAATGTTCCATATGATTATATGTACAACATGTATGACAACACTAATAATGACTATAATGAAACAAATATCGATGATTCCCAATACCAAAATTTTCAGATTACGCCCAATTACCCCAATGTGACGTAATATGCCTCAACAACTATAGTACTTCAGATTTGCCTGTAATAATTATCCCCGAATTAAATGCTAAGTTCTTAGTCGACACAGGCAGCGGAAAAAGTTTCATCAATCCGCAATTAGCATACCAAGTTTACTCTCAATTCATTTCTAATGAAAATTTCACTGTAAAAACTGCTCATGCAACATCAATACATGACGAAGTCATAAATATACCCATTTTTCTATCATTCAAAAAAAATGGTTACCACAAATTTTACTTGTTTAATTTCTCTAATAAATTCGACGGTTTGATAGGTGTCGATTTTCTAATCGATATCGGTGCCAAAATAAATCTAAAGAATTTTGCACTCGAAACGTTACAAGTAAATTTACCCTTGCATTTTCAAAACAAATTATTTTTCCCACAAAACACAACGGAGCCCACACAGTCATATGAAACTGTTATACCTCCTCGTGTTTCACAGAAGGTTAAAGTACCTGTAAACAAAACAGATGGAATAGGAATACTAAACCATATTAACTTTGATGATATCGCAGAAATGCCAGAAGCCTTGGTACAAATTGAAAGTAATTTTGCATTGACAACAATTACGAATTTATGTGAAAACCCAATAAAAATAAGTTTCACAGAACCATTTGAAGTAGAACCTATAAACGAAATTGAAAATAATTTTATCGAGGAAATGGAAACCGATATGGATATCGAAGTAAATCAACCAAATGATATGAAACTAAAACAAAATTTGAAGAACTTACGTTTAGACCACTGTAATCAAGAAGAATATCAAGCGATTCGAGATCTTTGTTATGAATACCGAGATATATTTTACTGTGAAGGTATTCCATTGACTTTTACGAATCAAATCAAACATAAAATCAATCTTCCAAATGAAACACCTATTTTTACAAAGACTTATCGATACCCTGAGATTCATAAGAAGGAAGTCAGCACCCAAATGGACCAGATGTTGAAAATTGGTATAATACAACCATCTAATTCCCCATGGTCTAGCCCAATTTGGATAGTACCAAAAAAGCTAGATGCATCTGGTACAAGAAAATGGAGAATAGTAATTGACTACCGAAAACTTAACGACAAAACAGTCGAAGACAAGTACCCATTACCCAACATCTCTGATATTTTAGATAGACTAGGTAAAGCTCAGTACTTTACGACGTTGGACCTAGCAAATGGTTTCCACCAAATAGAGATGGAACCGGAAGACGTACACAAAACAGCATTTTCCACCTACACAGGACATTACGAGTTCAAACGTATGCCCTTTGTAGTAAAAGAACCTTTAGAATTAAGGCTTTAATAAGCTAAAATTCAATACAGTATTTTCTGACAATAACTGACAACATGACATACAACATACAGGTACATAAATATAGGGAACACAGTAAATAGTAAAGTAATGAAATATATAACATTCTTCCTCGCTCATTTTGTGACATAATCTTGAAGATATGAAGGTGGCCTATGATTTCTCTTTACCAAAACACAACTGGATTCATCAGTAGGTTTCACTGGAGGATTTTCATTGTGTGATTGTTCAGAATTTTGGGGAAGAGAGCAATTTGAATCATTCAAAGGGAACGAAGATGACAAACGTTCTGAACTGACTGATGTAAGGTTTTCTTCAGGAATAGTTAATTCATTCTTATCTTGTTCTGGTAGTGTTATGGTATTTTGATCTTGTTCTGACAGTGTCACATCTCCCCTTGGTGCTAAATGACGAGTTGATACAGTCGTTTCTCTACCATTGGATAATCGTACATGAGCATAATCTGAATTTGCTTCCAGAAGATCCACTTCTTCTACTAGTGGATCAAATTTGCTATGTCTAACATGTTTCTTTAGAAAAACTGGGCCTGGGGTGCTCAACCAAGTAGGCATTGAGGTACCATTAGTCGATCTTCTAGGATGGTTGAACATGCGTTCATGAGGTGTTGAATTAGTCGCAGTACACAAAAGGGATCTTATTGAATGTAGAGAATCGATTAAAACATCTTGCCATTGTTTTACTTCAAGGTTTCTAGATTTAACCTTAAGTTGAATAGTTTTCCAAATTGTTCCATTAATTCTTTCACATTGTCCATTTCCCTCTGGATTGTACCCAGTTGTACGACTTGTGGCAACACCATGACTTGTTAAAAATGATTTCACATCAGCAGATAAAAAAGATGCTCCTCTATCGCTGTGAATATAACCTGGTGTGCCAAACATTGAGAATAGTTGAGTCAAACAGTTTATTACCGTTGCAGATGACATATCCGAACATGGAAATGCAAACGGAAATCTTGAATATTCATCTACAATGTCTAGTAAGTATTTGTTTCTATTATTGGAAGGTAACGGTCCTTTAAAATCAATGTTTAATCTTTCGAATGGTGCTATGGCTTTGATAAGAGTTCCTTTGTTTTTATGAAATCTCGGCTTTATCTCTGCACAAACCGGACATGCGGATATAACTCTTTTGATGTCTTCTAGTGAATAAGGTAAATTTTTGCATCTAATCCAATGATAGAATCTTGTGACACCAGGATGACACATCGCGTTGTGTAAATTATACAAAGTTTTGTCTGATGTTGATGGTTGAATAGCAGCAGATATCCTGGAAAGTGTGTCAGCTACAATGTTTTGATTTCCTGGCCTGTATATAATATCAAATTTGTAACATGATAATTCTATTTTCCAACGCAATATTTTCTCATTTTTGATTTTTGATGAACTCTTATTATCAAACATAAATGCAACGGATCTTTGATCAGTTATTATACTGAAATGTCGTCCCATTAAATAATGCCTCCATTTTCTTATAGCTTCGATTATTGCGTATGCTTCTTTTTCTATACTGGAATGATTTTGTTCTATTTTTGTTAAGGTTCTTGAGAAAAATGCGACAGGTTTACCATTTTGTGTCAGTTGAGCACCAATAGCAAAATCAGAA